TGTGGATGTATGTGAACCTCTCATAACTTTTAAACGGCTTGACCGATTTTATCGCGGTTGGTGCCATTCGAATGGGCTTAACCAAACTTAGATTTCCAATACACTTTGGACCGAGTCGGACCGGTAGATTTTGAGAAATCGCAGAAATACTACAAAAAAAATTTTTTCAAAAGTGGTTTTTTTGGAATAACTTTTAAACGGCTTTACCGATCAATTTCAAAAACTAATCAGCTCTTAACATCAAAAAACCACGTCGATCGCCGCCAGTCCGGTCAAAATCGGTTCATTCGTTCATGAGTTATCGTTGACGAAAGAAAACCGAAAAAAGCGTCTTTTCGGAATTACTCCGAATTTTTCCACTCGGTCAATATAAACTCAAAGATTTCTTATGAAGCTCAAAAAAATGCGTTGAATGCCACCAACTGCGTGAAAAACGGTTCATTCATTCAAAAGTTATTACGATTTGAAAATTAAAAAAATAGTGTTTTATTAAACGTCTATCAAACTTTTGAGCTTGAAGAGCTCAAAAGCATACAAATAATACACAAATTGTATTTATGAGCTTGAAGAGCTCTAAAACGTCATAAGTGCAATTTCAAGCGTTTAGGTATAGAATTGGCGGGAAGTTGCAGGGATTGCCTTCAGGGTCAACCGTATTCCTAATTTTTTTTTTCGATTGAAGAAAAAAAAAATTCTAAAATTAGCTTATTTTACATAACTTTGCGTTAAAATTTTTTTGGATTGTTTTTAGAATCTTAGAAATTGAAAAAAATTGTACAAAAAAAATCGTTTAGTGTATTTGCGCAAGTATTAAATTATTTTTAACATCTTAAAATATTTTATTAACGTATAGTGTTACTAATTTTTCTCTATTCATTCAGTTTTGTTTTTCCCGCGTGATGATGAGTTTAAAATTTAAAATTTTCAAATAAGAAATTTTTTACCAACTGCTCATATCGCCAATAAAAGAATTCACCACCGATAATGAAGGTAACTTTTTATTTTTCCTTATTCATTTTAAGGCTATGTTTTCTGAACGTTAGTCTGAATGTTAGTGTTTTTTTTGCAACTCGTTGACAAGTTTATTCTCCAACGTGTATCAAGTATTAATAAGCGAATTGTCATTAAATAAAAATTATTTTAAGTTAATTTCTTGATTAACAATAATTAAAATGCCGAAATTTTGTAATCGTTGCTGTAATCCAATGAATCGTGATAAACATAATAAGACAAAATCTCTACGGAGTCTGCCTGAGTATTTGGCTATTCATTTCCATCTATCAACTGATGACCGTGTATGCAGTCCATGTCATAAGGAATTACTGAAGCAATATGCAGTTAATTTAACTGAAGATACTGATAATGAATCTAATGAAAGTTTGAAAGCTGATGAGAATTCTGACGACGGAATCATTCACGTTGACGAATCGCCAGATACATTTGCTTCAAGTATACATCTTCAATATTTCACTTGTTTCAGTTTATAACTTGTTTGTTTTTCTAGCTCCATCATCAAGTGGCCAGGAATTACTTATTTAACAAAGTAGTTTTTCATTGTCTGAGATGAGTCTCAGTATTACTCTTCCGATCATTAACGAAGCGTTAGTACTATTAAATCAATCTCCTGTTTCTGCGAAAAGAAGAATCTATGAAACGTATTTGGATGACAAAGTTACTTGTGTCGCTTAAAATTTGCGAAAAGCTTTAGGAGTAAAAAATCGCATGAAAACCGAATTCAGTGATATGGATGCTACTGAAATGATAAACAGTTTGAGAGAAAAATTTAACGCTGATAATACGAGTAGATCCATACGCGTCCAAATATTGACTTTACTACCATCGAGTTGGAGCGTTCATAAAGTTATGGAAGTCATGGGTGCAAGTGAGCACATGGTACGAGTAGCAAAAAACCTAGTTGCTGCCGATGAAATTTTGTCAGTACCTACAAAAAAAAACTGGAAAGATACAAAACCACAAGTCAGTAAGGTTTTGAATAATTGACAAGTAAATTCTTCGACGTATTCAAATTTTTAGGACGTGAATTAGCTTCTACAGTAGTTTCAACCGTGACAATGACGATGAGATGAGTAGTATAATGCCAGGAAAAAAAGATTTTATTTCACTACGAAACGATGATGGTACTAAAGTTCAGTGTCAAAAACGTCTAGTGCTTTGTAATTTAAAAGAGTTGCACAAAACCTTCAAGTCAAAATATCCAGAAATCAAAATTGGATTTTCATCTTTTGCATCTCTACGTCCGAATTATTGTATTTTAGCAGGTGGTTGTGGCATTCATACAGTTTGTGTTTGCTCCATTCATCAAAATATAAAACTAATGATCTTAGGTAAGTTAAGAAGTAGAGAAATAAATTTGACGCCACTGATGTAAATTATTTGTTTATTACAAATCAGTACTTAGAACGTTTGTAATTAATTCAATCGACTTGATGTTTTTATTTATATCTGTATTACTTTCTTATATTTCCAACAGGCGGCAACTTTTCACGTTTAACTAAAAGCACGGATTCATCATTAGAATCCTACAATGATTGTTTGAGTTCTATTGTATGTCAAGAACCATCAGCTAAGTGTTTTCTTAACAATTGTTCTCTATGTCCAGGCGTCGAAAAAGTGAAAGAACATCTGTTAACTTTGATGGAAGATAATGAAATTGATGAAATCAATTATAAACAATGGGTCTCTACTCCACGAGTAACTCTTGAAAAGACAATTAAGAACACAAATGATTTCGTTGATGATTTCGGTGAAAAATTGAAGGCTCTTTTACCACACAATTTAATCGCTAAAGAGCAAGCAACATACTTGAAACAAGTGAAAGAATGTTTGAAAGAAGACGAATTCATAGTCATAGTTGACTTTGCCGAAAACTATTCGTTCGTGGTTCAAGATGCTGCTCCAGGATTTCACTGGATTAACGACCAAGCGACGGTTTATACTGTGATTATTTATTATAAAAAAAACAATGAACTTACTCATCAGAGTATGGCAATCATTTCTGATTGCTTGAATCATGATGCAATTGCTGTTCATTTGTACTCTGGGGTCATTGTCGATTTCATAAAATCTTTGTCATCTGGAGTTCGAAAAATTTTTTTCTTCTCGGATGGCGTGCCACAACAGTATAAAAATTTCAAACATTTTGTTAACTTATCTCAGTACAATGAAGAATTTGGAATAAACGTAGAGTGGAATTTTTTCGATACGGCACATGGTAAAGGTCCATGCGATGGAATAGGTGGTACTTTGAAACGAATGGCTGCACGTGCTAGCCTACAATTGCCACCTCATCTACAAATTCTAACACCATAACAATTATTTGAGTGGGCTTTGAAAAATTTACCAAATATAAATATTAGATTTTCAAAAGCTGAAGAATACAATTCCATGAAAGAGAAACTAGAAGAACGCTTCAAAAATGTTAAACCGATACCAGTGATACAAATAATTCATCAAATTACTCCATTATTGAATTTTGTTGTAATAGTTAAGTCTTTTTCTTCGTCGGAACAATCCACACAACACAGTACAGTTAAGAAACCAAGAAAACCATTGTTAAATCGAGGAAAATAATTATAATATTTAAATTTTTAACATTGTAACAACGATATTTTAATAAAATAACTCAATCCGGGCTGTAAATACACTGAACGATTGTTTTTGTACAATTTTTTTCAATTTCTAAGATTTTAAAAACAATCCAAAAAAATTTTAAGGCAAAGTTATGTAAAATAAAATAATTTTAGAATTTTTTTTTTCTTCAATCGAAAAACAAAAATAGAAAGAAAAGTCGGTACAAAATAAAAATAGCGGGGTTAAATATTGTCTTAGTTGACGTTTTTTTTAAGACAAAAAAATTGAGAATCGAAGGTTTCCAACGTCGAAAAAATTACAGTTTTATTGAAAAAACTGAAATATTTTATATATCGTGACTTCCGAAAAATTTTTTGTATTTTTTTCTGAAAACTACAATTAAAAAAAAAAAATTTTTCAAATAAAAAAAGTGCCAAAAGGTCAATTTGTGTCAAAGTTACAGCAATTTGAAAAAAAAAGAGCGTTTTTTTTCAAAAATTCGTAACTTTTTTTGGGTTGGGTAAAAAAATCTGAAAAAATTCAGAAAGATGTCTTTGGTAGGGTAGAAAATGACGAAAAATTTTCAGCGAAATCGAAGGGGGTTGAGCCGAAACCTCGGTGATTTGGCATGGAATGCCCCATATGGAACTATCTTGCTTGGCTGTATATTGCTCCATATATAGTCACATATAATTATATATGATTATAAATTATATCTCTATATGATTAAATATAATTATATATTTTCAAAAATCGGGAAGTTATTGTTTACTCCGTTTCTCGAAAATCGAGTTTTCATCGGATCTCGACGTTTCGAGGTCCTAGGAAGCTTCCCTGACTATTACCGCGATGCTGTATATCTGTATGTATTTTTGTGTGTGTATGTATGCATGTGTGTGTTTGTGGATGTTCGTAAAACTCATATTTTTGTACGGCTTGACCGAAAAAATTTTTTCAAATGTGGTTTTTTTAAAATTACTTTGAAACGGCTTCGCCGATCAATTTCAAAAACTTGTCAGCTCTTAACACCAAAAAAATCACGTCGATCGCCGCCAAGCCGGTCAAAATCGGTTGATTCGTTTGTGAGTTATCGTTGACGAAAAAAATCGAAAAAAGTGGTTTGTTCGAATTACACCAAAATTTCATGTCTGATCAATCTGTCTTTGTAAGTATATCATAGAATTTCAGAAACTGCGACGAATGCTGCTAACCGCGTGAAAATCGGTCTATTCGTTCGTGAGTTATCGTTGTCAAAAGAAAACCGAAAAAAGTTTTTTTTTCTTGCAGTTACTTTGAAATTCCTTGTTTGATCAATTGAAACTTAAAGATTCTTTACGAATTTTAAAAAACTGCGTTGAATGCCCTTAATCGGGTAAAAATTGGTTCATTCATTCAAAAGTTATTGCGGTTTGAAAATTCAAAAAATAGTATTTTATTAAACTTCTATCAGAGTTTTGAGCTCGGAGAGCTTAAAACAACGCATAAATTATATTTTTGAGCTCGAAGAGCCCAAACTTTGAGTTTAGGTATGAAATTAGTGGGAAGTTGCAGGGATGGCCTTAAGGGTCAACCGTTTTCCTAGTTTTTAACTTCCCGCTAAGAAAATCGAAGATTTTTAAAAATCGGGAAGTTATTGTTTTTACCGCGTTTTGCAAAAATCGAGTTTTCATCAGATCTCGACGTTTAAAGGTCATAGGAAGCTTTCTTGACTACTCCCGCGAGGTTGTCACTGTGTCTGTATATATGTGTGTGTGTGTGTGTTTTTTTTCCTTGGGGGGGGGGGGGATCCTTTTTACGGATTCCAGGCATAGCTGTATGGCCTGGATATGTGGCGACTCGACGCAGCGTCACACTAAAACTCGACGCTAACGCCCCTACCCACTAAACCCTAAACCCCTTTTTCCTTCTTTCCTCTAATCCCTCATGGAAACCAACGTCAGGCATTACTTCGTGAAGGGAGGATCTAGCTACTGCTCTTCCTTCTGGTGGCTAAGGTATTATTTTTCCTTCCTTCAAGTTTCTGTCATTTGCTCTTCTTCTTTCAATGGAACGCAGCTCTGTAAGGACTTCTGTCGCAAAAGTGCTTGTAGCGTTCCAGGCAGTTTGACTCGACAACATTGCCTCTACTATTGTCTCTGGTTGGATTCTTCGGTTCAGGATCCTTTCTAACTCATCTCGCTGAGGATCAAAATGTGGACACACAAAGAAAACGTGCCCTGCGTCCTCAATAACCCCTGGACAAGACGGGCACTCCGGAGAATCGTCGTGCTTAAAGCGGTGCAGGTACTCTCGAAAGCACCCATGTCCTGACAACATCTGCGTTAGGTAATAGTTGACTTCGCTATGGTTTCGGCTCAGCCAAACATCGATCTTTGGTATGAGGCGGTGTGTCCATCTTCCTTTTGTTGCGGCGTCCCACTCAAGTTGCCATCGCGAGATGCTGTGCTGCCGTTCTTCTGTTCTTAGTTCTTCAGCGCTGAATGTAGTTGACCTTTTTCGATGGTAAAGGGCCCGTCTTTCTTTAGCTAAGACTTTAAGTGGCAGAGTTCCAGAAATGACACACACTGCTTCCTCTGATATTGTTCGGAAGGCGCTGGCTACTTTTAGCGCGCTCAGTCGGTAAACTGGAAATGCTTTCCTCCATGATTCTTGGATCTCAAGTGCGTCGGCCCAAATGGATATACCATATGTGAGGACCGATGTAACTACTGATGATAGCAATAACCTCCTTGTCTGCTTCGGGCCACCGATGTTGGGCATTAATCGTACTAGGTTACCCACTACTGCTGATGCTTTGGCGGTCACGTGTTCAACTTGTTGTTTGAAGTTAAGTCGGGCATCGAGCATCACTCCCAGATATCAAACGAATGGTTGGGATGTGATTTCTTGGTCTCCGACGTTTAGATTGATCGTTTCCACCACTTTTCTGCTAGTGATAAGTACAGCCTCGGTCTTCTGTTTAGCCAGTTGTAGGTTTACTGTGTCCATCCACTGGTTAATTCGCTCAAAGGTGATAGCGAACATATGTTTTATCTCATCAAGATGCTTGGTGACGATTACTACGGCTACGTCGTCCGCATACGCTACGAGTTTGACATTTCTTGGTAGTTTCAGTCTCAGCAATCCGTTGTACATGACATTCCAGAGAAGTGGACCGAGAACAGAACCCTGCGGTACACCTCCAGTAACATCATACTCCTTTGGACCATTCTTCGTGTCATATCTCAGGACTCTATCTGTGAAGTAGCTAGCGACTATCCTTCGTAGGTATCCTGGTACGTTCATCTCTTGAAGGGCTTGCATGATGCAATCCCAATTGGCGGAGTTAAAGGCATTTTTTATGTCTAAAGTTACCACCAGGCAATATTTCTTCGTTCCCCCCCTTCCATCTGGTACCGGTAATTGCGTCTTTGGCTATACCGACAACCAGGTTGATCGCGTCCAGGGTTGATCGTCCTTTCCGAAATCCGTACTGATTGTCTGCTAAGAGTGGATCGACAACTGCTTCTATCCTTTGGTGGATTATACGTTCTAGTATCTTACCGGCGGTATCCAGCATGCAGAGTGGACGATAAGATGACGGTTCTTCCGGTGGCTTTTTCCCTTTAGGAAGTAGTAACAGCCGTTGTTGTTTCCACTTCCGAGGAAAAATCTCTTCCTTCAAGCAGATGTTGTAGACGTCGAGGAATAATGCTGGCGCTGCTTTAATAGATGTTTTCAAGGCAATATTAGGGATTCCGTCCAATCCCGGTGCTTTATTATTCCTGACGCGGTTACAAGCTTCCATCAGTTCTTTTTTCATGACAGGTGGAATATCATTCAGTTCGTCCTGTGTCAACAGATAGTTGAAAACGCGCTGTTGTGGAAACAGCGCAGTAACGATCTTCTGTAAGAGTTGAGGACACGTAGGAGACGGCATTGGCTGATACTTCAGGTGTGCCATGACTACCTTGTAAGGTCTACCCCACAAGTCTTTGTCCAACTCGTTGATTATCTCTTTCCAGCAGTTCTTCTTGCTATCTTTGATGGCTTTGTTTAAATGTCGACGAGCTTTCTTGTATTCTGCGACTAGTTCCGCCGAGTCAGGCCGCCGATAACCACGCTGAGATATTCTTCTTTTTTTGATACACTCTTTCCGTAGGAAGTTGATGTGTTCGTTCCACCAGTGCACCGAAGGTCTTTGGTTCATGCCCCGTTTACGGGGCATGCAGGTGTCGCAAGCCTAGGCCACTCTCTTCATCAAGTCCTTGGTCATTTCTTCTGCAGATCCAGTAGTAAGCGGTTCACTATTTAAGGCAGCTGCTAGAGCACTTGGGTCGAAGGATTTCACCTTCCACCCAACGATGTCAAGTTTCTTAGCCAGTCTTCTAGGATTCTGGTCCTTTGATACTTCCCAGAGAATCGCGTTGTGATCGATGGCCGTGTAGATCTCCATCATCTTCCAGTCGTAGTTTCCTCTGATGTTTTGACTCGCGATTGGTTTACCGCAAGTATATAAAATGTTACGTATAAAATTAAAGCTTATATTTTATACCAAATAAATGAGTTACTCAAATAAATTGTGAATAAAAGTTTAGTTCACAATTAATAAATGCAAGACTAATAAAAGATGTTGCATTGAGTAAAAACCATAAGGTTGAGTTTATCTTTAATTTATTTTAAGTAAAGAAATGCAACTGTGCGCTACAAAGTATGTAAGTATAACTAACTTAGAGAAAATACAAAAATTGTTACAAGGAGAGTAAAAACTAGGCGTTACAAGTACAAGCAGAAAAAATTAGGAGTAGGAATATTTGGTAATGAATAGTTAACGAGGAAATAATTTGGAGGCGGGATAGTTGCAAACTATGCAGTTTTAAAAAATAAGCAGGAAAGGGAATAGGGATGCTAAGATTTTTACCTGGATGGGCGATACGTTTACAGAAAATATTTCTAAATTTAGTTAGCAATTAAAAGATTAAAAATACAAAATTTACCAAGAGTAAAAACCCAGAGTAATATAACCCAGGTATCAAATTTATGACCATAAGCAGATTTAAAATTATTTAAGAAGATATCCCAAAAATTAGCATTAAAAATACATTTTCTATTCTAAAGCTAGAAAATAACAAAAATAGAAAAAGGCAAAAATTGTCTAGACTGCTATTGCAATACATAGACTGGGAAATTTACACTCATAATGTAACAGGGTAAATTACCCTTAATCGATAAGTCGCCAGAGATCGATAACTTTGTCGACTAGCATTTTGGCGCATCGATCTTCGGCCCTAGAAAGAGAGTAGGAGGGGGTATTTCGGGGAGCTATTAAATAGCTGAGCAGCGCATTGTGTCGGGAGAAGTGGTGTAGTGTTGAAACAAGTAACATCGAGGAGTCCAAGAAGGAAGCCATTAGCAACCAAAGAGTTCCTTCAAACCAATTGACGCCAGGTATTGGACTTTGGTAGTGTTGAGCCTTGGGGGTCACACCCGGCTCAATTTCCATACTACTTCTCATTTAGTAAATTAATGGTAATTCAATTCGTCTTAGAATATTTTATTCAATAATAATTTAACTGTTTGAATTAAATTAATTTTGTTAGCTTTGAGAACAATTCCTCCAGGGGATTGTTACACCCGAGGAATGTTCCAGACCTCCGGGGTTTGGTCGTGAGTAATCAAGTTATTAATTCAGCTGGTTAATAATAATTAACACCTTTGATTGGAATTAATGAATTCATTTATTGACAAATTATTAGTATATTTCATTTAACTTGAATTAATTATTAACATTTAATTACGATCTTATTTCATTTAACTTGAATTAATTATTAACATTTAATTACGATCTTATTTCATTTAACTTGAATTAATTATTAACATTTAATTACGATCTTATTTCATTTAACTTGAATTAATTATTAACATTTAATTACGATCTTATTTCATTTAACTTGAATTAATTATTAACATTTAATTACGATCTTATTTCATTTAACTTGAATTAATTATTAACATTTAATTACGATCTTATTTCATTTAACTTGAATTAATTATTAACATTTAATTACGATCTTATTTCATTTAACTTGAATTAATTATTAACATTTAATTACGATCTTATTTCATTTAACTTGAATTAATTATTAACATTTAATTACGATCTTATTTCATTTAACTTGAATTAATTATTAACATTTAATTACGATCTTATTTCATTTAACTTGAATTAATTATTAACATTTAATTACGATCTTATTTCATTTAACTTGAATTAATTATTAACATTTAATTACGATCTTATTTCATTTAACTTGAATTAATTATTAACATTTAATTACGATCTTATTTCATTTAACTTGAATTAATTATTAACATTTAATTACGATCTTATTTCATTTAACTTGAATTAATTATTAACATTTAATTACGATCTTATTTCATTTAACTTGAATTAATTATTAACATTTAATTACGATCTTATTTCATTTAACTTGAATTAATTATTAACATTTAATTACGATCTTATTTCATTTAACTTGAATTAATTATTAACATTTAATTACGATCTTATTTCATTTAACTTGAATTAATTATTAACATTTAATTACGATCTTATTTCATTTAACTTGAATTAATTATTAACATTTAATTACGATCTTATTTCATTTAACTTGAATTAATTATTAACATTTAATTACGATCTTATTTCATTTAACTTGAATTAATTATTAACATTTAATTACGATCTTATTTCATTTAACTTGAATTAATTATTAACATTTAATTACGATCTTATTTCATTTAACTTGAATTAATTATTAACATTTAATTACGATCTTATTTCATTTAACTTGAATTAATTATTAACATTTAATTACGATCTTATTTCATTTAACTTGAATTAATTATTAACATTTAATTACGATCTTATTTCATTTAACTTGAATTAATTATTAACATTTAATTACGATCTTATTTCATTTAACTTGAATTAATTATTAACATTTAATTACGATCTTATTTCATTTAACTTGAATTAATTATTAACATTTAATTACGATCTTATTTCATTTAACTTGAATTAATTATTAACATTTAATTACGATCTTATTTCATTTAACTTGAATTAATTATTAACATTTAATTACGATCTTATTTCATTTAACTTGAATTAATTATTAACATTTAATTACGATCTTATTTCATTTAACTTGAATTAATTATTAACATTTAATTACGATCTTATTTCATTTAACTTGAATTAATTATTAACATTTAATTACGATCTTATTTCATTTAACTTGAATTAATTATTAACATTTAATTACGATCTTATTTCATTTAACTTGAATTAATTATTAACATTTAATTACGATCTTATTTCATTTAACTTGAATTAATTATTAACATTTAATTACGATCTTATTTCATTTAACTTGAATTAATTATTAACATTTAATTACGATCTTATTTCATTTAACTTGAATTAATTATTAACATTTAATTACGATCTTATTTCATTTAACTTGAATTAATTATTAACATTTAATTACGATCTTATTTCATTTAACTTGAATTAATTATTAACATTTAATTACGATCTTATTTCATTTAACTTGAATTAATTATTAACATTTAATTACGATCTTATTTCATTTAACTTGAATTAATTATTAACATTTAATTACGATCTTATTTCATTTAACTTGAATTAATTATTAACATTTAATTACGATCTTATTTCATTTAACTTGAATTAATTATTAACATTTAATTACGATCTTATTTCATTTAACTTGAATTAATTATTAACATTTAATTACGATCTTATTTCATTTAACTTGAATTAATTATTAACATTTAATTACGATCTTATTTCATTTAACTTGAATTAATTATTAACATTTAATTACGATCTTATTTCATTTAACTTGAATTAATTATTAACATTTAATTACGATCTTATTTCATTTAACTTGAATTAATTATTAACATTTAATTACGATCTTATTTCATTTAACTTGAATTAATTATTAACATTTAATTACGATCTTATTTCATTTAACTTGAATTAATTATTAACATTTAATTACGATCTTATTTCATTTAACTTGAATTAATTATTAACATTTAATTACGATCTTATTTCATTTAACTTGAATTAATTATTAACATTTAATTACGATCTTATTTCATTTAACTTGAATTAATTATTAACATTTAATTACGATCTTATTTCATTTAACTTGAATTAATTATTAACATTTAATTACGATCTTATTTCATTTAACTTGAATTAATTATTAACATTTAATTACGATCTTATTTCATTTAACTTGAATTAATTATTAACATTTAATTACGATCTTATTTCATTTAACTTGAATTAATTATTAACATTTAATTACGATCTTATTTCATTTAACTTGAATTAATTATTAACATTTAATTACGATCTTATTTCATTTAACTTGAATTAATTATTAACATTTAATTACGATCTTATTTCATTTAACTTGAATTAATTATTAACATTTAATTACGATCTTATTTCATTTAACTTGAATTAATTATTAACATTTAATTACGATCTTATTTCATTTAACTTGAATTAATTATTAACATTTAATTACGATCTTATTTCATTTAACTTGAATTAATTATTAACATTTAATTACGATCTTATTTCATTTAACTTGAATTAATTATTAACATTTAATTACGATCTTATTTCATTTAACTTGAATTAATTATTAACATTTAATTACGATCTTATTTCATTTAACTTGAATTAATTATTAACATTTAATTACGATCTTATTTCATTTAACTTGAATTAATTATTAACATTTAATTACGATCTTATTTCATTTAACTTGAATTAATTATTAACATTTAATTACGATCTTATTTCATTTAACTTGAATTAATTATTAACATTTAATTACGATCTTATTTCATTTAACTTGAATTAATTATTAACATTTAATTACGATCTTATTTCATTTAACTTGAATTAATTATTAACATTTAATTACGATCTTATTTCATTTAACTTGAATTAATTATTAACATTTAATTACGATCTTATTTCATTTAACTTGAATTAATTATTAACATTTAATTACGATCTTATTTCATTTAACTTGAATTAATTATTAACATTTAATTACGATCTTATTTCATTTAACTTGAATTAATTATTAACATTTAATTACGATCTTATTTCATTTAACTTGAATTAATTATTAACATTTAATTACGATCTTATTTAATTTAACTTATAAATAATTAAATTCCAATTTCAAATCATTTGACTAATTTCTACACGAAATTATCAGACTCAATTGACTAACATTTTGTTATCAATTGAATATTATTAGCTCTCATCTAGAGACAATTAAATATTATTAGCTCTCACCTTGAGACAATTTATCTAATTAATTGAACATTATTAGCTCTCGCCTTGAGACAGTTTATCTAATTAATTAGATATTACTAGCTCCCTCCTTGGGACAGTACAAATTCAAATTATCGATAATTTTCTTTATACGGCGGCTGAGCTCACCTCTATTGCGTTATTGCAACGTAATTTTACACACACACACTTACACACATACAACTTACTTGTATAATTTTCAACAAAGAGGTTTTTTCCCAGCCTAGCTGGGTTTTCCTCCTTTGGGGACAAATAAATTCTTCTAAATTGTTCCCCAAAAATTCCAAGTATTATTATTTAATTTCCTAATCCCAACTTTATCATATAATTTAAAACAATTACGGGAATTATCCGCATTGGATAGTTTTCGACAAAACATTATTATTGAATAAATTTTAGTACCGTTGTTAATAAAAATATATTTATTTCCAGTACACCTTTCTCTCTCTCTCTCCCTGTAGAATAACAAAACTCAGCTCTGGTATCCGGTTCCAGGAACCGAGAAAATAATCCTGGTGGCGCCCTATTTAGCATTAGAGTCATTTCGCTGTTATCTTGTTAATTATTAATTTTATTCAGGGCCAATAAGTACGGGAAATAAACCACCGGTTACAATAAATAAAGTTGAACAAATGAATGAACCTTTTTTTCTAGATAATTTAAAATACTTAAGAATACGGGTTTGAATTTAAATAAAATATATTATTTACCAATTTAAATAATAATTTTGACTATAGAATAAAAAATATAAAATTGTTTAATTAATTTAAATTTTTCTAATAAAACTAATCGTACGACGGAACATGCCGCTCCCCTTGAACCATCTAGTTCAAGCAGATTGGGTGAAGTCGTCATCCTCTTCATCGATGGGAAGTGGACAAAGCTTCTTAACGCAACGGTCGTATGTACCCGTTTTTGTCCTAAGGGTGACCACTCTGACGATGCCATCCTTGCCAGGATGAACAGCGGTGATGCGCCCGAGGACCCATTATAAAGGAGGCAAATTTTCTTCGAAGATAAGCACCAAGGTTCCAACCTTGAGGTTAACTGATTTGCTCGGAGATCCACTAAATTTAAGCAGTTGATGAAGATATTCCTTGTGCCAGCGTATCCAAAAATGCTGCTTGAGCTGTTGAGCATGTTGCCAAGCAGATAGACGATTGATTGGTGTATCTGTGAAATCAACCTGTGGAAGAGGTCAACGGACTACCTATGAGGAAGTGAGCTGGAGTTAAGGGAAGAAGGTCATTAGGATCGGATGACATAGGAGAAATTGGCCTTGAATTTAGGATAGCTTCTATCTCAATGACATATGTTTCTAATTGCTTAAAAGTAAGTAATGTATCACCCACGGTTCTAATTAAATGATGCTTAAATGATTTCACCGCGGCTTCCCAGATTCCACCAAAGTGTGGAGCTCTAGGTGGGATAAAGTGCCAATCAATCTTTTCTGCATTACAAAATTCAGTTATTATCTTTTTATGCTCTTTTGAATTAAATAAATCATAGTGCTCATTTAGCTCGTTTTTAGCTCCGACAAAGTTTGTAGCATTATCGGAGTGAATTTCTATTGCTTTTCCTCGTCTTGAAAAAAGTCGCTTGAGGCTAGCTAAAAATGCTTCAGTAGTAAGATCACTGACAAGTTCTAAATGAACAGCCTTTGTGCACATGCAAATGTATACCACCACGTAAACCTTTACGCGGCCGCGATTACGATGACGTTTTTCTTTTATATAAAAGGGTCCACAATAATCAACTCCTACACGTAAGAAAGGACGCGAAGATGTGACCCGCTGAGTGGGAAGAGTTCCCATCGGGTGGTTAGCAAGACGCGGTTTTGCGCGAAAACAAGGTACGCATTTACGAATCAAGCTACGCGTGACGCTGCGTCCATTTAACGGCCAATAATTTTGGCGAACTGAGTATAGCGTTGCTTGCATACCTGAATGTTTAAGTCGAAAATGTTCGGCTTTGATAATTAATTTAGTCACGTGATGCTGAGCAGGTAATAAGATTGGGTGACGTTGTTCTTCAGCAATAGAAGAATGAGCAAGTCTACCTCCAACACGTAAAATGTCGTCATCATTTATGATAGGATTTAATGGAATTAATTTGCTACATGAAGGAAGTGATTCCCCAGCTTTAATTGATTCTATTTCTTTTTTAAAGCAACTAGATTGGACTAACCGTATAATCAAGTCATGAGATATTACTAATTCTGTGCTAAGTAGTGGACCAAATTTACGTTCACTACTGGGTTTTTTAACATTGTGAATAAAACGTAGAATGCATGCTATAACTCGCTGCATCCTACTAAAAGAACTAAATCTTTCGATGATGTTATACTCTTTTATCTCAATTTTCAAACATGCAATTTTAGGAATAAGAGGTTTTAAATCAGGAATATCTATAGGAGTAAGAACTCCTTTCGGCCATGCTGAGTTTTCCTGAGTCAAACATAAAGGTCCATCAATCCAAATGGAACTTTCAATAAAATCTGACGGCAGCTGTCCTCGAGATATAAGATCTGCAGGATTATCTTGTGATAAAACGTGCCGCCAATGGCAAGACTCAGTGATAGTTTGAATTTCTGACACGCGATTCGATACGAAAGTTTTTAAGCGATGAGCTGGCGTATTTATCCAATGTAAAACAATCGTAGAATCAGACCAAAGATATGATTCATGAATGTTTGTCAAAATAGTTGGCTTTACAATATGATAAAGACGAGCAAGTAGTACTGCAGCGCAGAGCTCTAATTTTGGTAATGTCAATGGGTTGACAGGAGCCACTCGAGACTTAGAGGAAATAAGGCGTATATATACCTGACCCTGACAATTAACTGAACGCAAGTACAAACAGGCGCCATAAGCCTTTTCACTAGCGTTGCAAAAACCATGCAATTGTACTTTAATCGGGTCAGGTATAGTAATTCCACGAGGAAAGCGTAAATTTTCGATTAATGGTAGCTGGTCCAAATAAGCGGACCAAGACGAATGAATCTCAACAGGAATAGATTCATCCCACGCTACCCCGGCCTTCCACAGAAGCTGCATGATAATTTTTGCATGCACGATAATTGGACCTAAGAGACCAAGAGGATCAAATAATTTTGCAATTTGAGATAGAACAGTTCTTTTTGTAATGGACTTGGATAACGAAAGATTTACTGAATAAAAGAAATAATCTTCACGGGAATTCCACCGAATACCTAATGTTTTTACAGATGAATCAGGATCTAAAGACATATGTGCACTATCAGGATGCTCTTGATCCTCAATAAACAGAGATGGATGATTCGCAGCCCATTTTCTTAAACAAAATCCACCCTTTTTTAATAAAGATATAAGTTGATCACGTAAGATAATTGCTTCAGAAATTGTTTGTGCACCTGTGAGTACATCATCCACATAAAAATCTCTACGTAATATTTGAGCTGCAATCGGAAAATTCTCCTCCTTATCATCGGCAAGTTTATATAATGTTTTGATTGCTAAATACGAAGTGGAAGATGTACCATACGTGGTAGTTTCAAGTGTATATATCTGAATAGGTTCAGAAGTATTTCGCCGATAAAGAATTTTTTGATATGGAGTATCTTCAGAATTGACACGTACCTGTCGATACATTTTTTCAGCATCAGCAGTGAGAACGTAAATATGCGATCGAAAACGTAAGAGAATACAGAGTAAATCGTCCTGGAGTTTAGGACCTACCATAAGAGTATCATTTAAGGAGATACCAGTTGAAGTTTTAGCAGAACCATCGAAAACGACGCGAGTTTTTGTCGTTATACTGTCTTCCTTGACCACAGCATGATGCGGAAGAAAGAACCCTTTACCTGTAGTATTTTGATCTTTTGCAAGTGACATATGACCTAATGCCAAGTACTCATCTAAAAATGCAATGTAATTACGCTGTATTTCAGGTTTCTGCTGGAATATGCGCTCTAACGCATAAAACGTTTTAACGCAACGGAGTAAGATTCACCTAATCCAGCCTTTTTATCATTAAATGGTAAACGTACTTCATACCTTCCATCAGTATTTCTCGTTGTATTGAGAGCGTAATGCTCTTTACAGACCTTTTCTTCAGAAGACAAAATTGTATTTGATGAAAGTTCTTCAATTTCCCAAAAACGGGTTAAGCTTACATCTGGAGGATCCGAATGGATCGAGAAATGACAAGATACAAGCGAAGGTTGAGAATGCGCACCAATTTCACCAGCAACGACCCACCCTAGCTGAGTTTTTTGAAGGATTGCATTGGGGTGATTTTTCAATGATATTTGTCCTACAACGAGCAATTTGTAAAACAATTTAACACCAATTAAAGCATCCACCTTCGAAGATTTGAAGAAGTCGGGATCGGCTAATTTAATATTTTTAGGTATGTCGAGGCTTGATTGATTAATAGTAATCGAAGGCATTGCCTGACTAATTTGAGGTACAATTAAAAAATCAGCAGATTCCTTGTAATTATTGCATCGAGATTGCAAGGTAGTTCGAGCAGAATGCTTAACGCTAGTTGAAGTATTATCTTGTAACAGGGTAAATTACCCTTAATCGATAAGTCGCCAGAGATCGATAACTTTGTCGACTAGCATTTTGGCGCATCGATCTTCGGCCCTAGAAAGAGAGTAGGAGGGGGTATTTCGGGGAGCTATTAAATAGCTGAGCAGTGCGTTGTGTGGGGAGAAGTAGTGTAGTGTTGAAACAAGTAACATCGAGGAGTCCAAGAAGGAAGCCATTAGCAACCAGGGAGCTTCTTCATACCAATCAACACCAGGTATTGGACTGTGGTAGTGATGAGCCTAGGGGTTCACACCCGGCTCACGGAATATACTACTTCTCATTTTAATTAATTTGGTAATTCAATTCGTCTAATATTTTATTAATAATTAATTGTTTTAATTAAATTAATTTTGTTAGCTTTGTGAACAATTCCTCCAGGGGATTGTTACACCCGAGGAATGTTCCAGACCTCCTGGGTTTGGTCGTGAGTATCTAAATTATTAATTCTGCAGGTTAATAATAATTAGCACCTTCGATTGGAATTAATGAATTCATTTTTTTAACAAATTATTAGTATAATTTTCTGAACACCGAGAAAACGTTCCAGTCATAGCTCACGACCAGTCAAGCGTCTCTCGGTACCCGAGGTCAAGCTAACTACGCAGTAACGGCGTCCATTTTGAGCGCACATTCCTTAAGAATTTGTGACGCCGTAAATTTATAAAATAAATACCTGGAAAAATGTTATAGTTTTTAACGATTGAATTACCACTTAATTAATTATTTTATTTTATTTATTATTTATGGAAAATTATTTAATTATTTATTCGGAACAAATTTTAATTACCGGAATTGATTGTTGAGAAAACTGCGACGCATTTTCGAAATTTAAGACATCGGATAATTTTTCGAAATTACTTCTACACCGAGGTGAATTTATCTTTAATCCAATCGTCACTCTCAATTACTAGGAATTTATTATTCCTCGTGTTATTAATTATTGAGAGTTAATTCATTAAATTTCGACGCAGATAAGACTGATACACCCGCAGGAAAATTGAGGCACGTAATTTTTTACATTGAGTAAAATTATAATTTATTATCTAGTCTAATGGCCAATTTCTGCCAGGGGAGTCTTATATCGAATTCATACCAATAATTTATTAGCATCATTATTCCGGTAAAATTAATTGTAAAACTAATTATTCGTGTGGATTAAGTCCGAGTAAAAATTTAGTTAAAATTACAAAAGAATATTCTAAGAATTTCTTAATGCGTGAAGATAAGCTCGTGTTAAAAATGGAGGGAGAAGAAGCGTCGGTTTAAGCCGGAATTTTCAAGAAGTAAATTTGTTTAAATTGTGAGAATAATTCATGAGTTTTATTACGAACTAATGACTGATAAATCTTAATAAAATTAACGTAGTAAATTTTTGGAGTAAATTTTGTAAATCCGGAAATAATAAAGTAGAGTCAGTGTGTGTGTGTGAGCGGAATATGTGTGTGGAGATTGTGTGGGTGAAGTGTGTGCGATTGTACGTGTTCTCTACTTGTTGATGAATTGCCGAGTAGAGCAATTCGTACAGTCCTAGAAGCCGTTGTATAGTCGCCAAGTGGGGTACAGCGGCGGTAAGTTAGAAACTGCAGTATAGTCGCTCCATAAGAGGGTACTGCGGGATTAGGAAATTTTCTTAGACGACCCCTACTTGTTGATGGTTTGCCGAGTAGGGTAATAAATCTTGGTGCGATGTCCTCATCTTGGTTTGCCGAGTAGACGACTGACGCCAAGTCGGAGTCGCCGGTTTTAGCCCGAAATCCTCCGGTAGTTATAAGTAGTAGTTAAGTAAGGTAGAAACCGCAGTATAGTCGCTCCATAAGAGGGTACTGCGGGATTAGGAATTTTTCTTAAACGACCCCTACTTGTTGATGGTTTGCCGAGTAGGGTAATCTGGACTTGGTGCGACATTTTCTGCTTGTTGATGAATTGCCGAACAGAGGATTAGCATCGAGTGGAGTCGTCGGTTTTAGCCCGAAATCCTCTGTTAGTTATAAGTCGTAGTCGTAAGTGAGTAGTGTAATCGAGTTGAGGAGTATGTACAAGTGTACGAGTTGTTATTTTGTTGTTGAATAAATTTTGGTGCCGTTGTTAATGAAAATATATTTATTTCCAGTACACCTTTCTCTCTCTCTCTCTCCCTGTAGAATAAGAAAACTCAGCTCTGGTATCCGGTTCCAGGATCCGAGAAAATAATCCTGGTGGCGCCCTATTTAGCATTAGAGTCATTTTGTTGTTATATTGTTAATTATTAATTTTAATCAGGGCCAATAAGTACGGGAAATAAACCACCCGTTACAATCTATCCCAGTTACATAAATGTTAGCTGGTTTCTTAATTAAATTCAAAAGGTTTGCAATATTTTCAGTTATAAAATGTGCCTGAGAACCTGCATCTAAAAATACGCGAATAGTTTTGCTATTGCCTTGATGATTCACCATGTCAACTAGAGCAGTAGCAAGTAAAACATGTGAGCTTGTTTGAGCTTGCAAGATAGTACTATTTGCGACAAAATGAGAAGAGACTTGAGCTGTTACCGATTGGTTGGAAGAATTATTTGCTTTTTCGAAATGTAAAAGAGTGTGATGTTTCAGCTTACAATTTCTGCATGGCTGAGAGGTACATTTGGATGCTCTATGTCCTTTTCTTAGACAGTTAGTGCACCATCCACCATTTCTAGAAGCCTCATAACGAGTGTGAGGATCTAACGCTGCGAATTGAGTACAATTATAAACTAGATGAGTATTTTCACCACAAAATACACAAGATTGCTCGTGAGTGGTGGTTGCAAATGTTTGTTGCGAGCGAGTATTAGATCGGTTGTTATTATTGATATTATTAGACCTTTCGGATGCGGGTTTCGGATTTTGAAGTCGAACTCCTTCTACCTGAGCACGTCTTTTTAGAAAATCTATTAAATTATTTACGGTAGGACGAGCTATGCCACTACTGCAATCCTCCCATCGCTCGCGAGCGGATGAGTTAAGTTTTTCCCGTAATATTACAATTAATATGGAGTCCCATGAACCTATGGGTTCTCCTAACGCTTGAAGAGCACGTAAGTGTTTTTGGACGCGATCTAAAAACGCGCGAAATGAATATTCTTTCGATATGGATGGCATATCTACTAGAGCTTTAATATGACAATCACGTATATATTTCCGGTCGTCATATCTTTCTTTTAAAAGATCCCAAGCTACGATGTAATTTTCGTCTGAGGATTCGATAGTTGAAATTATATCGGCTGCTTCACCTTTCAAGCAGCCTTTCAAATAAAATAATTTTTTCACGGGAGGAATTTTTAGATCCTTGTGAACAAGAGAATTGAATAAATCATGGAAGCCTAACCAAGCATCATAAGCTCCACTGAATGTTGGCAATTGAATTGTCGGCAAAGATGATGAATGAAAGTTATCAAATGCATTTTGAGATAATTGAGATAATAGAAGTTGCTGATTGACAGCATCTAAATTTTGAAAACTTTCGGCGTGAGACGGTACATTATTAATGTTGGAGTTTCGTTGATCTTGCTGTTGTAAATTATTTGATTCCGAGGTCAAAATCGGAGTATCTAATAGACTTTGACTAGTCGAATTTAATAAATCAGTAGTACTATTATTTGTTTGTTCCGAAATTTAAATACGAAGCTAGAGATCGTTTGGCACCGGCGCGCTTAGTTGTTAATGCCTTTATTTTTTCGTCAGTCATATTATAATAGTAATCAGAACTAGTTAATAAGAAACAATGCAAAAGAAAAAATATCACGAGATATAAGCAATACAATTTGCAAAAAAGGTAGGATAGAGTTATAGGTAGCCAATTGACTTACTTTACCAACTGGATGATAGTTACAGTATTGAATTATGCTGGATACTGGGCGTTGTACAGGAACAGACGATGCAGTTTTCCAAAAGGTTCCGGTTAATGGACAGGAACAGATGAAGAAGCTTCAAGCAGGTCCTGGGTGAATCAGAAAGATGATGTGTCTTTCCACTTTGCAGGATAGTAGGTTACGGTGGCTACGGGAACTGAACGACGATGAAGATGTATTTTTTCACTTAATTTTATAAACCGAGTACGCACTGACTCGAATAAAATAATAAATTGAACACTGGAAGTTAAGTAATTTTAAACTATCCGGCTCGAGAGACCAATGTTTTGACTCGCGATTGGTTTACCGCAAGTATATAAAATGTTACGTATAAAATTAAAGCTTATATTTTATACCAAATAAATGAGTTACTCAAATAAATTGTGAATAAAAGTTTAGTTCACAATTAATAAATGCAAGACTAATAATAGATGTTGCATTGAGTAAAAACCATGAGGTTGAGTTTATCTTTAATTTATTTTAAGTAAAGAAATGCGACTGTGCGCTACAAAGTATGTAAGTATAACTAACTTAGAGAAAATACAAAAATTGTTACAAGGAGAGTAAGAACTAGGCGTTACAAGTACAAGCAGAAAAAATTAGGAGTAGGAATATTTGGTAACGAATAGTTAACGAGGAAATAATTTGGGGGCGGGATAGTTGCAAACTATGCAGTTTTAAAAAATAAGCAGGAAAGGGAATAGGAATGCTAAGATTTTTACCTGGATGGGCGATACGTTTACAGAAAATATTTCTAAACTTAGTTAGCAATTAAAAGATTAAAAATACAAAATTTACCAAGAGTAAAAACCCAGAGTAATATAACCCAGGAATCAAATTTATGACCATAAGCAGATTTAAAATTATTTAAGAAGCTATCCCGAAAATTAGCATTAAAAATTCATTTTCTATTCTAAAGCTAGAAAATGACAAAAATATAAAAAGGCAAAAATTGTCTAGACTGCTATTGCAATACATAGACTGGGAAATTTACACTCATAAATAAAGTTGAACAGATGAATGAACCTTTTTTTCTAGATAATTTAAAATACTTAAGAATACGGGTTTGAATTTAAAATAAAATATATTATTTACCAATTTAAATAATAATTTTGACTATAGAATAAAAAATATAAAATTGTTTAATTAATTTAAATTTTTCTAATAAAACTAATCGTACAACGGAACATCTGATGAGGCTGCTGCTGACAAAAGCAAGATCTACAATAGAACTTGCGTCTCCTTTAGTGTACGTCGGCGCATCGCCGCTGTTCAACAATACTACATCTAACGTAGAAAAAGCTTCCAGTAGTTCTTTACCTCGAGCGTTGGTGTGTTTGCTGCCCCAGTCCACTGCCCAGGCGTTGAAGTCCCCAGCTATTGCCACTGGGTAGTACTGCTTTGCGTTCTTCGTCAGTCGATCCAGAAAGTCCATGAATTCAACAATAGTGAGGCTAGGTGGTGCGTAGCAGCTGTAAAAGCGAATGCCATCTACCGATGCTGCTACAAAGCCGGCGCTGCCATTGTTAACGACACTCTGGAAGGGGAGCTTGCCACAGGACCATATGACAGCTTTTGTGATGCAGTCAGTTTCCCATGGTTGGCCGCCGAGGTGTTTATACGGTTCCGATATAAGCACAAGGTCAAGCTTCTGTTTTCGTACTGTCTGCATAAGCAAATCATGTGCCGCCTCACAGTGGTTGATGTTTAGCTGCAGTATTCTCATTTTCGTTTATCAGTTATCTTCTTGAGTACCTCTTGGTATACTGGGCATCTGCTTGTGCCGGCATGATGGGCCTTATTCATTTGCGTCCTCTTTAAGTATTCCCGCGATAGTCTTTTGCAGGTCTTTACCTCTATCACTACTGCCTTTCGACGTGATGAGAATGTTCCCTGTCGCGGTCCTGCGTATCTTCTCGACTGTGTTGCAGACTTGATCCGGGTGAACGTCCGCCTTGATCCGCGTAAGTATTTCAGAATACTTATCTTTGTTCGCTGGACGGATAATAAGTGCCTCAGGTCTCTTATAACTTTTGAACTACTTGACCGATTCGATAGCGGTTGGTGCCATTTGAAAGAGCTTGGCAAAACTTAGATTTTGAGTATAATTTGGACCGATTCGGATCAGTAGATTTTCAGAAATCTTAAAAAAACTAAGAAAAAAAATTTTTTCAAACGTGGTTTTTTTAAATAACTTTTAAACGGCTCCATCGATCGATACCAAAAACTCAGCTCTAGACAATAAAAAACCACGTCAATCGCCACCAAGCTGGTCGAAATCGGTTAATTTGTTCGAGAGATATCGTGAACGAAAGAAAACCGAAAAAGTTTTTTTTTCAAAATTACTCCAATATTTATGGTTTGATCAATTAAAACCTGAAAACTCTTTATGAAGCTGATAAAACTTCGTAGAATGCCGCCAACCGCGTAAAAATCGGTTCATTCTGTAACGGAGTGATCGTTACCCGGTAAATTCCCCTATTTCGGTACTCAGTTATTTATCGACAGGTCACAGTGCGCTGTGATCTAAAGCTCGTTTGGAGCTAGTGAGAAAGGCTCCAAGGTGGAGAAGCCAGCGTAGTGGTAGTGGGGAGAACAGAGGAAGCAAGAAATGAAGAAAAATTTGGTAAGACTCATTGTGACTGAGTGGCTCGACTGGACGACACGCAAATTTTTCTAAAACATCCATCTAAGGCGATGTAAATACCCAAGGAGCGAGTGATGGTGACCAGAGTTTGCCGCCAAATTGAGAATACCTCACCGAGGGAAAATTCACGCCAGTACCCGAAGACGAGGAGTTGCAGCTCACCGTCGGAGTGCAGATAAAATTATAAGAACCCCAGGTACAAATAACGAGTCTTAATTATTCTTCGGGACTGCGGCGTCAGCCAGGCAACATGTCGGCTGAAGGTCACCGCCATTTCGTGCTCGGTCAAAATCGTTAGTTTATTTTAGTATCAGATTTAATATTAAAATTAGAAAAAGTATAAAAAAATTAATTAATAATGCCGGGACTTGTTTCGGGTTATTGATTAGTTTGTTAAGGGAAAATAATTTATCTTTGTCATTACTTATTTTACACATAGGCCTGTCTGGGTTAATAATACCAGGCATTTAGTTCGGGTTATTAATTCCAGATTTTTATGTCATGTGTAAAATTCCTTTTATTGAAAATCGTTGGACAATAATTCGGCTTAAGCCAGTAAAATGAAATTTAGTACATTGTCCAATTAAATTATTTAAGTCAGGAATTTATTTAACTTCAGAAAATTACGCTGTAAATTATTTGGCGCATTATTTAATATTTTTATTTATTTATTTATACTTTTGGTAAAAATATTCTATAGAGGTGCAAAAAGCACCTGTGCATAGACACCAGAAAAATATAATACATTTATAAAAATTAATACATAATATTAGATTAACTAAGTAAGTAGTGTACAGAGTATATTAAGAATAATTTTACAAATTTTTACAGAAATACAACTTATCATCAATTAAAGTATAATTGATCTTATCCACCTCACAATATGCTTTCTTAACCATTTATTATAATTTAGCTCTTTCAGATTACTAGGAAGTAAATTGGAGTATTTAATTGCAATATAAATTGCATTTTTAGTACTTAGTGTTCTATTAATTTTTGGTAGAGTTAACTGTCTAGATCTTGTATTAATTACTCTCTCAGAGTACAAAGTTTTACATTCACAAAAATAATAAGTTAAGGCTTGTACAACGAAAGATTGTTTAATCTTCAAAGGTCCTAACAAATCATTAGAATTTTTCATTTTGCTTAACAATTTATTTTGGAGATTTATAATAGGTTTTAAAGTGTTATCATATGCACCTCCCCAGGCTATAATTTCATAGTTTATAACACTTTCAAATAGACCATGACAAATGATTTTCAGTATCGATGAGTTTATCCAATTACTTAATTTGTAAAAGAGGAAGGTAAAGTACTTGAGTTTTTTCATTAGTTCAGAAATATGTTTGTTCCATTTCATATGGCAATCAAAAACTACTCCCAGATATTTACAACTTTCAACTCTTTTTAACTCTCTATCTTTGATGAACAAATGAAAATTAGTAGGCACACTGTCAGCATAACAACCAAAAGTAATAGAAGTCGATTTATCAACATTTAGCGTTAACTGATTGACTTTTAACCACTGATCTAGCTTATTCAACCAGTCAGACAAACAATCTGCGACTACTAACCAATTAGATCCACTACACAGAACTACTGTGTCATCAGCATATGATAAAAGAGCATTAGAAGGCATAATATTAAAAATATCATTCATGTACATAATAAAGAGAAGAGGCCCTAAGATGGTCCCTTGGGGAACACCAATTTTTACTATTCTACAATCACTAGAACAATTATTTAATTTAACACATTGTTCTCTACCTGATAGATAATCTACAATCAATTTATGAGGTAGACCTCTGATTCCTTTGCGCCACAATTTATCTAGCAAGATTTTATGATTTACTGTATCGAAAGCCTTAGCTAGATCCAAGAAAACCAGTACTGATGCACGATTTTTGTCATAATTTAAATTAAAATTAAACCAGAGCCAGGAAGTTATTATTATAATCAATATAATTATTATTTTAAATCGGATATAGTAGAAGAATAGAAAATAGAAATTGTAAAAATTCGTTTGAAAAATTAATTTCCAAGTGTCGATGCGACAAAGACGCAAGACCGAGCGAGAGCGTCAGCCATCTTGTCCCGCGCGAGAACGCTGAGTAGAAGACACTCAAGGTCGAAACAAAAGTCTTAGTCGGTTAAAATAATATAAACTCGGTAAAATAAAATTTCAAATTT